GGACATCACAGCACTGAGACTTGGGGCCATTGACTCTCGGGGCCATCACAGCACTGAGACTTGGGGCCATGGACTCTGGGGAGACATCACAGCACTGAGACTTGGAGCCACAGACTCAGGGATACCAAGCTCAACTGGCACAACACAGTCCACAAACACAATGATCTACATCCTACTTTAGCTGTTATCCTAGTAACTGGAGTATTACAGGTTTGTGAGCAGCCATCTAAGACGCAACTATTCTCCCTGTCTGGAGCTAAAGAGAGTGAACAAAATCACAAACTCAAGGAAACCTCAGTCCAAGAACTAGCAGATCATGTGACTCACAGTCCACTAGCCTGAGACCAAAAGGACTAGCTGGTGCCCAGCTATGAACCAGCAGCTCTGATCAAGATCACAATAGAAAGTCCTGGACAGAGGGAGAGAAAATTATAGAAGAGAATTCAGAATCATTAAAAACAAAAAACCCAGACTCACTGGTCTTCCTGACAGAGGCTGGTGGAAGCCTGGAGGCCATGGCCCCGGACTTGCAGTGAAACAATGAACAGGCGTGTAGTGCGACCAAACAGCAACTGGGAGGGGTTTACTCCTCGGAACAATCAACTCACCATATGAGACCAAAAGGGCAGCATGTGCTTAACAACGAAGTTCAGAAGGCAGGAAGGGGCAGGAAAAATAGGCAAATGGAAATGGGGGAGCCAGGGAAGAAGCGGGAAGAAGACTACTATGCTAACCGGATTGCAGCTATTGTCACGAAACAAAATGTGTACAAACTGGTGAATGGAAAACTGATTTACTCTGTAAACTTTCATACAAACCACAAGAACATATTCCTTAAAAAGTACAACTCAGTGATATAAGTAGAAACAGTGCATTTGAGAAATCAGTTTTGACATGGAGACATACACAATTTTATTCTCCTAACTTGGCTTTTACAAGGGGTGGGGGCTGGAAAAAACCCTTTGGTGTAAAAAATACACCAAATGTGGTTCTTAACAACATTGTTTAAAAGCTTCCAATGGGTTTCTTCTATAGTTGGTAACAAATGTAAGCATAAGGATTCCAATTATCTAAGCATGACTTAGCAGTGAATTATGGTGTTAAACCTGTTACAAGATGCCTATAGTGATTAAGGTAGTCTCCCATTTCCCTAAAAATCAGCAACACTAACCAAGTAGAAATCAATTGTAATTGAAGAAGAGAATGAGCACTAAACTAATTACCTATGTCAACGTGTGTGTACGTACGGCTGCATGCGTGCACACACGTCTGCAAGTATGTAAGATGTACGAGAGGGCTTTGAAAAGTTCATGGGAAAATTCCATTATCTTTTACTTCCATTTTCACACGAACTTTCTGAAGCTCCCCTCGTGGGTGTATACAGTTGGATGCTTGAACAACATAGGTTTGAATTGCATGAGGCCACTTAGACATGCATGTTTCCACTACTGTTATTGCGGTAGCTCAAATGTTGCAAGGACCCTCGTAAACCAGCATCTCTGCGTGATCATCATGGTGGTCCAGGTTCAAGTATCAATTACAGGTAGATTTGGGATTTTGAGAGACAATGGGGTCCCTAACCTGGAAGCCTACTCCCACATTGTTCAAGGGTCAATAATACATATACATGTGTGTGTGGTGTTGTTAAGTGCTGTGGAGTCCAGTTCTGACTCACAGCAACCCTGTAGAGGGTTTCTAAGGAGCAGCTGGTGAGTTTGCACTGCCAATCTTGCATTTCAAAATTTCAAACAACTTTGAGGTCCAGTGTTTAGGATAATACAATGGCACATATATGTGTATGTGTATGGTGGTGGTGGTTATGTGCCATGGAGTCGGTTCCAACTCATAGCGACCCTGTACAGGGTTTCTGAGGCTGTAAATCTTTATGGGAGCAGAAAGGCTCATCTTTCTCCCGTGGAACAGTTGGTAGTTTCAAACTGCTGAACTTGCGGTTTGCAGCCCAATTCGTAACTACTACGCTACCAGAGCGCTATATATGTATGTATGTATGTATATATATATATATATTACACATATATTTGTGAAATCTAGAAATTCTGCATTTTATAATTTACCTATCGTGTGTGTGTAGGAACTAAATCTACAGAGAATAAGTCTTAATTCTCATAATTCCATGATTCTTAACTGAATTCATGTGCTGCAAATGTTTGCTAAAACAGATTTTTTTTTTTAGGTTATGAAATTTTCTTTTAAAATCTCTTATTTTTTTACTGGGCTAAAGTCAAGATTTTGTTTTTTAATTTATATATTTAAGTTTTGCATTTAAAGTCAATTAGGGAAAATAAGGCAGTACAATTCAAATAACCGTTTACCTAAACAAGTCCTTTGAATTTAACTCGTTCTAATGGCACCGATTTAATAAGTGTGGCTTAATAAGAAGGTAGAATCACTCCAGCAATAAACTGCTTATGCTTTCGAAAAGTACCTATAATACTGTCTCTGGAAATTGCAGTACCATCTGTGTAACTGTTATTCCAAATGCCTCCCATATTAAAGGAGTTAGCTGAGAAAGTTCATGTAATATCTTGATGTATATCACTTATTCCACCTAGGAGTTTCAGGCTCATTATACAAAATACAACAAAAATATATACTGGTTCATTTCAGCGAAAATACACAAATACTATAATAGTTGGTATTTATGCCTAACAAGCACCTTCTTAAAGGAATGTAAGACTTAGAATTTTTTTCAAATGACAGTATTGTGGATTCTTACTTTCCTACAATCAAAGCATCACAATAAACTGAGCATGTGCATAGATTTTATTGTAGACACCAAGTTACCTTTCTGTATATTTTATCATAAACTTGACTGACATAATGTATTTCTGCTTTTGCTAACTGCTTTTGCTAACAGGATTTGTTCAAATCCCTGCAATTCTCAAAGGAGAGCTGAGTCATTAGGGTGTGTAAACTAGACTAGGGCTCAGTGTTTCTTCCTGGAAAGGATAAAAAACACTGTCCACTTTGTGAGCTGGGTAGGTCCGCTGTTGGAGCATGAAAGCAGTCATGGACAGCATGCAAATGGATGAACACATCTGCATTCCAATAAAACTTTATTTATAAAAAGAGCCACCAGCTGGATTTTTCCCAGTTCTGAGATGGAGAGGGCAAAAGGAAGGGAAGAGAGGGGAAGGGAGTGGGGAAGAAGAGGAAAGGGGAATGGGGAGAGACAGAAGGAAGCAAGAAAGATTGAGAAAGAAAGAGAGAGAAAGCAAGAAAGATAAAGAACATCGAAAGTATTTTAAGAACTTTGACTCCTGAGACCAAGTAACTATTTAGTGGGGCCGGCTTCATCTGTTCTATTGATCGTCTCACTTTGAAAGTGAAGTCCTCAAAAATGGAATGAGTCTTCTTAGGGCTTGCTTTAATGCTGACTGAACGACTGGCAGGCAGTGCGCCAACATAAATAATGAAAATACAGATCTTAAGTTAAGTGCACCACAGGATCGGACGTACCTTAGTAATGGATGGAATATGACTGTAATGTTTCTGGCTCCGGGTTTGCAGACAAACTTTGTTCCTCCTCCTTCAATTAAGTTGTCATCAGGACCCCCTTTTAGGAAAAAGAAGAAGAAAAAGGAGATTTACTAAATTGGAACTTTTACTAAAAAAAGAAAAACTGATCCTCACCAGAGGAATGCTATACTCTAAGTAAGACCATATTTGAAAACAATTGTTTCCCATATCCACAAAATGATTCTGAAAATGTGATGCCATCTTCCTCACACAAATAAATACATGGACCAGCAACCACACGCATGCACACTACTACAGCAGTAACAACACATCATGCATGACTGTCTTCCAGAAAGCCATTAAGAGGCCATTGACTTGGGATACACTCCAATTTCAGAGCTCTTAGAACGTAAACAAAACGTGGTTTTTGTAATGCTGGAAGAATGACTCATCTATCTTTCCACTAGGTGAATTTACGGTATGGCAACTCCGGGCCTCATTCCAGCCTCCTAGTTTGGGGAAGTGAAGCCCCTCTTTGATAAAACTGAGAAGAACACACTGTACACATGTTGCTGAGCAACTCTCTACTTCCAATCTAGAAACCAGAATGCCAACTGTATTGCTGTGAAGTGCCCCTGAACTTGAGGTTAGCAGTCCAGTGCTTATCCTACAATGCCTCACCAGAATTCCAGAAACTAAAACCATCTGCCATTGAGTTGGTTCCAACTCCTGGCAAGTTCTTGTGTGTCAGAGTAGAGCTGTTTCACAGATTTCCAATGACTGGTCATTTGGAAGTACATCACCAGGTCTTTCTTCCAAGCTATCTCTGGGTGGATTCAAACTTACAGCCTTTCGCTTAGCAGGCAAGAACGTTAACCGTCTGCACTATTATCTAACTGTTCCCACCTTGTAGTGAGTATTCTGTGGAAGAAGTTGAGCACTAAAACTCTTGCCCTTATCAGAGAGGGCCTAGAGAGTGGCCCAGGATTTTCTGTGTAAGTGGAGAAGTGAATTTACCTAACTTTGACATTCAGTTAGCTAGCTTATTTGCCTCTCAAACGTGGCTACACTCATCAGTACAGCTGAAACCAGTATAAAAGCGGATTTCACTTGCATCTCACGTATTCATTCTCTCTCCATGGTTTCAGAACTTGGGTGGGAAAGTGAGCTCTCAAAACTGCAACAATCTACACATGTAATATGTCATCTCTTTTCTAAACATAGTATTTTCTTCTTTATTATAGTTCTTTGCATAATACGGAACACAACTAAATCTCACCTGGACTTATTATCTGTCTTAATGGTCTCTGAGGGTCCCTGGAAATTGACTGATAAAAACATGTGCAGATTCAGAAATCCATGCCCTGGATCGCTGAGAACTCCCAGTGGCACTGGAGTCTAGACAAAGACGATTTGGATCAGTTTGGTTTACCCACTAATCAGAGAATGTTTTTTCTTAAGAATAAATGTAAGTCAAATGGCATGTACAGATCTTGTTTCAAAATCATGAGCTTTCCCCTCCGCATTTGCAAACAAACAAATATCTCTTTTTATTACTAGAGTTACTCCAATGGCTATACCTATGTATAAGGAGAGCAGAAAGGTGAACATAAACATTTCTCCTTTAATAAAAATCCTCCTCTATAGGTCAAGAGGAATGGTTACAAATGGTGGGGAGGGAAGAATAAGTACTTCTAAGATCATGAAATGTAGTCAAAAGTGAATCACCAAGGAATTGTGTGTGTGCATGTGTGTAGAAGCAACCAGTTTATATTCTGCACTCCAGAAGCAACATAAAGAACTCCCTATAATGAAGCTCAACATAGGCCTATCTTTAAAAAAGATATATGGGGTTGGACTAGGTTTCTCCGCTGGTTGTCACTCTGAAGGCCTATAATTCTAGGTATTCAATAACTAAACACAGACCTGGTGAATGTGGCTCCGTCAAACACATCTGCATGCATGCCAACTACACTGTATGCAGGTTGAATCGACACCCTTGCCCACACTGTGCTCCCAGCTGGAGGGTCTGCTTGCTTATACCATTCCTGTAGGCCCCTACGCTGTTCAAGGGGCCTTGCTCAATGTCCACAATGCCATTTACAGAGACTGCATATACAGTGTACAGATAGGCACCTTAATGTAGGTCCCTTCTTTGTTGTCATATGGTTTCTAATGCGCCTATCCTGAGGGGCTCATTTGCTGGCATTACATCTAACAATGTTCTGCTGCTATCCATAATGTTTTCATCTCCTGGTACTTCACCTGACAATGTCACACTGTTATTCGTAATGCTTTCATTGGTTAAACATTCAGAAGTAGTCCACAACTACCTTTCTTCCAAATCTACCTTCGTCTGGAAATTCTGCTGAAACCTGTCCTCCATGGTGACCCTATTGGAATTTCACATACTGGCACCTTGGTAGGAAAAGCAACGGAGCTGTCTGCATTGCAGCACCATGCAAGTCACCCCAGCATGACAAACTGACAGACAAGTGAAGGCTCGGGTTCAAGTTGAGATAAAATATCTGAAATTAATAGTTTTGCTGTTGTTAACTGCTGTCATGTCAGTTCTGACTCATAGTGACCCTGTATGGGGCTGGTGGGTTTGCACTGCCAACTTTGCGGTTTGCAGTCCAGTACTGATCCTACAGGGCCACACCAGGAGTTTGAAATTGGTAGTACAATTGTGGAATATTCTAGAACAGGAATAAGAGTGGAAAGGTAGACTCTGAGAACCAGTTACCTGAGTACCAGAATTAGGGATTTCCCATCTGGGTGTAGTAGACGAACAAAGGCAAAAAGGAACAGATTGGTCTGGACCCAGGCTTGGTAGGAATGAAAATGGAGTTGGACAGAGTGAGCCAGACTTAGAGTAGAGGAAGGTAAGAATTGGGGTTCTCATAAGGTCAAATATGATTTACGTCAGCAGACAGAGACCGAAAGGAATGGGAGGGTGTGGCTAGAGAGTGGGAAGAATTCTCTATCCTGCCTCACTCTCACCGTGGTCACAACCACAGGAGTCCCCAGCCCACCTGAAACATGGACAAAAGGAACGGGTTGAAGAGAAATCTTGATGTTTGGTAGGAGTCCATTGGTGATGCCAACAGTTAACATGCTCAGCTGCTAACTGAAAGCTTGGATGTTCAAGTCCATTCAGAGGCACCTCAGAAGGCAGCCTAGTTATCTACTTGCAAAAAATCAATCATTCAAAATGCTATGAAACAGTTGTATTCTGAACACATGGAGTTCACCAGGAGCCAGGGTTGACAAGATGACACTTGGTTAAAGAATTAGGTGAAGCAAACTTTAAGGGTGGGTTTGTTGTTATTGTTGTTGTTGTTAAGAGCCACTGAGTCAGTTTTGACTCATAGCGACCCTATATAGGGTTTCTAAGCAGTGGCTGGTGAATATGAACCAGTAACCTTGGGGTTCAAACAACTTTGCGGTCCAGTGCTTTATCCTACAGTGCCACACCAGGACTCCAAGAGTGGTTATAAAACAGAGAAATAAAGAAAGTCAGAAGATTCCAAGGATGTCAGGCCAGAGGAAAAGGGAAGTTCCTTTCAATCCCCTCTGAAGACACTCATAAGTATGAGACATTCTGTAAGAGAAGGAGCTCTGGTAGTGTAGTGGTTACGAATCAGGCTGCGAACCTCAAGGTCAGCAGTTCAAAACTACCAGCTGTTCCACGGGAGAAAGATGAGGCTTTCTGCTCCTGTAAAGACTTACAGTCTCGGAAACCCTGTACAGGGTCACTATGAGTCGGAACCGACTCCTTGGCACATAACCACCATCACCAATGGTGGGTAGGGAGCCTTGTAGCAGCGCTGCAGGAGAAAGCTCTGAGTAGGAACCAACTCAACGGCATTTCACAACAACAGTACAATGGTGGGTAACTGGGACAGGGGCAAATATTACATGCTTTGACATATAAAGACCAGTATCATGCTATGGTGCATGTACAGTTTATCTGTTGGAAATGTCAGTGCTAGAAAGCACAAGAACAGCTCTCCCAGATTGGGGGGCAAAAAAATCATTTTGGGGAAGCAATGAAAATATGTGTGTGTGTGTGTATTCTTTTGCATTTCAAGAAGTGAATACACTCTAGCTCATAAATAGTTAATTTTGCAACAATCTACTATTATTTGTTGTTCTGTGCCTTCGAATCAGTTCTGACTCACAGTGACACTGTATTTCCAGCAGCTAAACAGTACATGCACACTGGATGTTGTTTTTCATATATCAGAGCATGTAATATTTATTCCCGTGACATCACCCACCATTGTGGTGGTGGTGGTGGTGTTAAACGCTGTCACATCCGTTGCAACTCATAACAACCCTGTATAGGGTTTCCGAGGAGCAGCTGGCTTATCCAGTCCTGTGCTTATTCTACAGTGTTATACCAGGACTCCATTATTGAGGAGTAGTGAAAGATAAGATAGAGAGAGGGAATTAAAACAAAACAAAAAACAAAAACAGTTCCTTAATCAGCTCCCTAACAATAAATAAAAATGAGGTTTGGGGGCCTGGGACAGGGCAAAAAGAAAGATGAAGCAACAAATCTCAGGGTTAATAATTGCTCACTCTGAACCATCAGTAAAATGTGTTCACCTGGAGCTCTTCCATGAGCAAAAGTCAAAGAGGATACATTAGTAGCAGTTCTGAGTATACCTGCAATGGAGTCGGAATGCCATGCTCTATGACAAACAAAATGTAAGAGACGAGCCAATTACTGAAGGAGCCGAAGTCACTGCATGCATATTTTTAAATGGCAGATCGATAAGACCCAAAGGAACTTCACTGCCCAGCATTGAGGAGTCTCCCTACCTTAGTGACATTATCCACCAAGTCACCTGTATTTTAAGGCTACGCAAAGAGACCACATTGATCCTTAACAGATTCCCCAGTTTTAATGATCTTGAATCTATTAAATACGTTTTAGTGGCCAGCCAGGTGCAGTTAGTGCCAAGATTCTCATACTTGTAAGTTGGGGTGCCGTACCTTACTTATCATGGTCCAGCTTGGGGCTAACAATTATATCCCAAACCAAAACCCAAGCCATTCCATGTGAACTTCAAAGATTCAGCAATTCAT